CAAAGAGCTTTCTTTACATTTAGGCCAGAGATGGAGAACATGTTGCCTTTCATGTGCTCTGTGGAGTTAACAGAGTTTATACTGCTAATATAACACACTCACATCTGCTCTGGCCAATAGTTAAAGACGACGGACGTTGTGGCCCAATAACAGCTGGAGGGCCACACATTCCCCAGTTGTGATTTGTGGAAAGGTGCTGCCTATATGGTCTACAGCCACATGAGACTCTCCAGAGACAAGGTTGCCCCTCATGTGGACTTCACCAGCTTGCAACAAAGGCAAGCTCAGTTCTACTTCTGAGACCAAGTTATATTCCACCTCAACAGTTGGGCATACATACTTAGGTCACTCACACATGTTCATAGGAACTTAGGAAGCTGCCATATTTCGGGTCAGACTGTGTGGCCATCTAGCCCAGGATTATGAACTCTGATCACCATCAGCTGGCAGACAGAGAGCAGCCTTTCTCTCTCATCAGCCACCACCTCCTCTTTTTAACTAGGGGTGGATGCAAAATCCGTCCTCTGTCACTGAGTTGGTAACAGTGCCTCTCAACTTGAACATGATGCTCATCAAACGATGGACTGCAGTATTAAAGGGGCCACCATCATTCAAACATAGTAGGTTAGACCAAGGGTGGAGAACCTGTGGCTTTCCAGACATCACTGGACTCCAGCCCCCAGCAGCCCCAGCCAGCATGGCCAATAGCCAGGGAAGATGGAGAACCAACAATCATGGTTAAGCTCTCCTCATTAACCTGAGCTAAAGCCAACCTAGTGAGGCAAGAGATTAACCACAAGTCCTGGTTTGAACGACACAGTAAACCCAGCGTGGACCAGGAGCAAAACATGACAGGGAGCAGCAAAGCAGCTGCAAACTCCTTTCTCCAAGCCTATACTTTTTCCTGAAACAATGCTGGTGACTGAGACTTTAGATGAAGTCACAGGCTGCTTCCTTCTGATCCTTTCTTACTCCTCCCAGCTATGATCCACCCCACAAATTTGCCCTTTTAATTTTCTCTCAGAATTTCCATAAACAGCAACTGCTGTTAAATCTTTACCAATATCCCACTGGTTTTCCCCCCCCAGTCATTGGGAAAGGACTGCAGCTGAGCTTGTTAATTTCTGCACTTTGCGGTCTCTTAAAACATTCTATTTAAAATATTTGCATTCTGTGTATGTATCCAAAAATACAATATAGTGCTGTTGACTTTATTTTAAGCTGCTTTCCACGTATTTCCCAATCTGCCTACAGTTTCGATTGCCAACGGATTTCGGCAAAAGATTAAATATTACCCAAGAGCCCGAAAGCATCTTAACAACAAACCCACCAGGGCTTGAGTTCTCAAAAGCCAGAGACCAATATGTCAGATGTATATAGATGCACGCAACAGTATGGTATTGATAACCCTTAGTTATTATTTTGTAATCTGAATAATCTATTTATGATGATGATGGTGGTGATGATAATTCTCCTTTTCTCCAAGCTGAACCCTTAGGGTTGTTCCAAAATGTCAGACTGTTTCAGCGAAAGCAAAGGGCGCCTGGGGGGCACTTGGGATTGTGTTCCCCCCATGTTTCGTCTACCAGCTTTCATTCCCTCCGCTTCTGTCAAAACTGCCTCTAAAAGGCTCGCCCCCCCCCATTCTGAAAACCTGCCTTCCAGCATTATAAATCCATCTCAGGCATCCATATCCCCCAGTTGCAACCCTCAGAGACTACCCCATGACCTCTGACCCCCTCCCCAACTCCACCCTCCCCGACCTCTGACCCCTCCCTCACCTGCAACCTCCATGACCTTTGACCCCCTCCCCTAAATCCACCCCTCATTTCACTGCACCTCCTCCGGCCATGGGGAGGGGGGGCTTCCCCATTGCTTACCCTCCCCCAGCAGGAGGATGCGCACATCCCGCCTCATCGCCGTCGCTTCAGGAGCCACCACGACGCTCCCCGCCTCCTGACAGCGCCCCACCCACAGGACAGCAGCGGCTTCCCAGCCCGCCGCCTCCTCCCCCACTTCCGGTTCCGGCTTCCTTCCGTTTGCTACCATAGAGCCGCCAGGACAGAAGGGTGTCAGTGACAGCAGCGGCACCTCCCGGCCGGCGGGCAAAGTGCAGCCAGCGCCTCTTGTTCTTGACGAGCGAACTGGACTACAGTAGTGTAAAGGCTGCGGGTGGGCGGGAGCGTAGCGCCACCTAGAGGCCAGGGAGCTTGCTGGGATTCAGCCCCGATTCCCAGCGGTAATGCCGCCTGTGCAGGTACGGTAATCGGCGTTTTGAGAGCAGCAGCTGTAGTAATATCGTGTTTAATGTGCTAGGGTTATTGAATAACGTGATATATTCTGCCAATCAACAGGCTGTGAGATGCAGCATTTTTGTAAACATTCTGGTAAAGATGTTTGCAGAATAAGGGGGCAGGCATTATCTTGGCATGTCGCCAGATTTTAGCAGTTCTTGTTTTTATCTACCTTGAACCCTGACAGAGAAAAGAGGGTAAATAAATAAATGATGATGATGATGATGATGATGATGATGGAGGGAACTCAAATATGCATGTGTGTATGGTTTTCTCAGTAGCGATGTATGGAAGTGAGAGCTGGACTATAAAGAAGGCTGATCGCCAAAGAATTGATGTTTTTGAATTATGGTGCTGGAGGAGACTCTTGAGAGTCCCATGGACTTGCAAGAAGATCAAACCTATCCATTCTGAAGGAAATCAGCCCTGAGTGCTCGCTGGAAGGACAGATCGTGAAGCTGAGGCTCCAATACTTTGGCCACCTCATGAGAAGAGAAGACTCCCTGGAGAAGACACTGATGTTGGGAAAGATGGAGGGCACAGGGAGAAGGGGACGACAGAGGACGAGATGGTTGGACAGTGTTCTCGAAGCTACCAGCATGAGTTTTACCAAACTGCAGGAGGCAGTCAAAGACAGGAGGGCCTGATGTGCTCTGGTCCATGGGGTCACGAAGAGTCGGACACGACTAAACAACAACAACGTTTATGTTGGGGGGTGGCACTGGCTGACCCAGATCATCTGAACAGGGATTTGTACACGAGTATTCTTGGTCTAAAGTCAACACGTTAGCCACTATATCATATAATGGATGTGTAGGTTTTTTTATTTTATAATTTTTATTCCCGCCCCCTTTTTTTTACATCTTTTTTTTCATTACAATTCCCCTCTCACTGAATATCACTGAATATTCAATCACTGACTTCTCTTGCCCTCCTCCCATGGTTCCATTTGTTTATCCATTAAAATTGCATATTCTCATTTCCCCTTTTATTCAAACTTCCCCTTCCCCCTATAGTTTTAAAAGTTTAAACTGAATTTAAACTAATCCTGCTAACACTTTGTCCTGCTTTACATAATTCTTCAGATATTCTGCAAAGATTTTCCACTCTTACTGTTAATTTGCCATTTCTACATATTCCATTAATTTTATCTGCCACTTCTCCTTTGTTGAAGTCATTCTCTCTTTCCATTTCTGAGCATATGCCATTCAGGCTACTGTAATTGTGTAAAGAAATAAATTATTTGGTCTGTGGGGACTTCCGTTCCTAATATACCCAACAGGAAGCTTTCTGATCTTTTTGTGAAAGTCCACTTAAACATTTCCCCCCCATTTCATTATATATCATCTCCCAGAATTCCTTCGCATTTTTACAGGTCTACCACATATGATTAAAAGTACCCTCCATTTCTTGACACTTCCAGCAAGTACCTGACTGATTTATACATTTTTGCTAATTTACTTGGTGTAAGGTACTATCATTGTCATGAAGTTTTCTTTCAGGGTATAACAAGCTGTAAATTTTAAATCCCAACTCCATGTAGATTTTTAACAGCTGTGTGTTGTTACAGGCATTTTTTTTAAAAAATAAGACAAACAGCTCACTCATTTTGTAAATTAATAAACATAAATATATATATTTATTTATTTTAAAAACAGAAATGAGCTAGCTTCAGTACGGTAGTTATTTTCAAACTGTACGCTCCTCTTGCCTTTCCTTGGGAAATTTCCAAAATCAGATGAAAAAAATGTCCAATTCTTCTGGTTGATACATCTGCAACACAATTGCAATCCCATTCCATTTGTACACTATTTCCTAGGATGGACAAGGACTCAGAAAGAACCCAGCTTAAACTTCAGAACTCACACACAGACTTTGATAGGGCTGATAGTTATAGAGAAAATGAAAAGGGCACAATCTGTTGGGAAGGAGTCCAAAAGCCTCAGAAAAGAAATTACACAAGAGCTCAAAGAACTGATGTAAGAGAGAATTTTTCTGCCAACTGTGCCCTTCCCGAACTAACCACATGTCACCTGAAGAGTCTTAACAAACAAAACATCAAAATAAATCATATAGAGAAACTCAGGATTGCTGCATATAACTTTTGGGGATCCAAACCTAACAACTTAGGTCACAAAAAACCCCAACTGCCACACAAGTGTCTTTTCTGATAAAAGCATGCCTAGAAGCGAAGCAGATGCATGAGTATCTGTGTGACCATTGTTGAATTCTGTTTCACTTGCTTTTCCTGACAAAGATGCAGGTGTGAGAACAAGATATGCATTTAAAAAAAACAACACACACAGAAAAATATTTATATCTATATAGTGTATACCCTTCTAACTTTGCATTTAAGGCAATTTACAAAATAAAAGTGAAACAATTAGAGTGTCATAGGCATTAATCATAAAATGCACGTCACATTAACAGTAGCATGAGCAAGCCAATCCTGTGTGTGCTTCCTTGGAAGTAAGTCCCATGGGATTCAATGGGGCATACAGGAAAGCATGCAAAGGATTACAGCCTGGGAATGTAATCAAAATGACATTTTTGTTGCCTAAAGCCATGCGGCTGCTTTTGGTGTCTCTCTCTCTGTGTGTAAAATAATTTCTCTCTGCAGCTTTTGACCTCCTTACTTAGCACCCAATGCAATTCACAAAACAAACGCAACCCATCAACATGTCAACAAAAGTAAAAATACAAAAATACAAAGCGTAAAATACAATGACGCTATTGTAAAACAAAAAGAAAAAATGGATCATTTGCACCACTTATCCCTAGACAATCTTGTGAACTGCAAGTCTCCAAGGATTTAGCCTCCACTCGCAGGATCCTTCTATGACCAATTTGTGTGGCTGAGCCAATCCAGTCCAATCCAAATCTGTATGTGTGCTTGCACCCATAGGCACTGTTTCAGAAGCTACGGGTACAAAATACTGCATCACACCCAATCTCCTCTGTGTTCTTTTGCTTCAGCTGTGAGATGTAGCATCTCCTGAACAGAATGTGCAGTTGTAACAATGTAGGTGACAACGATGGCATGGCCTTTGCACTCTGCGCATTAAAATCCTTGTCATGTGCATGGGGTTGTCCCACGGAAGAAGATACCTGCATTTCTTAAGACATCACACTTTGCTCCCAGATGCTTAGAAAGCTGCCACCTGAAAATTCCAGGTTCCTTATACCAAGGGTGAACCTTCAGATTTTGCTGGACTCCAGTTCCCATCAATCCCTAACTGTTGGTTATGATAGATGGGGTTGATGGGAGTTGGAATCCAGGCAACATCAAGGGAAGGGGCCACAGAGTTCTCCATCTCTGCTTTATACAAAAAATGTCAGCAAAAAATGTAAGGGCATTGTGGATTGGTCTGTCCAGTGGTAGAAATCTGGCATATCTTGCTACTGCATAACACCCAACTCTTTGTTCACCCCCTGCTCAATACAGTCGAAGTGTCCATAAACTGGAAGAGTTCAGAAAGACGGATCGCCAAAGCCAACATCTAACTGCACCTGATGGATCTCCTGGAGCAGTTCCTCGTTGGCCAGCTCCAGCTGCAATGGAAGGAGTAGGGATGAGACGAGACTAAATCAAGTGCCTATTTAAAGATCTGTCATGTATGCTTTGGTTCAAGGAGGAAGGCTGGGCCAGTTAATCCCTACTTCAAGGCCACACAAGACAACCAGAAATACTTTCACTGTCGGCCTGCCAAAAGCTGGCATCAGATGTGATAGAACAAGTCAGGATGGTGAGATAGCAGCACGCAACAGCAGCTGATTGAGAAATGCCACATTTAATTCAATGCCATTTTCAGTGTGTGTCTCACTTTTCATCATGGGAACATTCGGAACCCGCAATGATGCCTGACATATAATATAAATATAACATAAATCTACACACGGACGTTGAACAGCCCTTTTTGCATTGACTTTAAAATACAACCAGTGTACAGAAAAGCACTTTGGTCACAGAGAGTACTATGTGAGTTAGTGCTCATCCCAAAAGGTTTTTCCACTTGATTTTACTTGATACTCATGTTTGTGTCGCCTTCATTTATTTGTACTGTAATGGTTTTGTTACTGCTTCATCATTCTTCTTGTTCTTAGCCTCCTTGCATTTTTTCAAGAAATAGAAAGGAGGGATATGCTTTCTAATATATATATATAAATGATGACTAAATTAATCCTGGCTTAAAGAATGTGTGACTTCCTAGTCACACCGCTGGTTGCTTCCAAACCAAAGTGTAATGCCTTTCCACAAATCTAACAATTGTGAAAGAGAGAATAGGGTGACAAACCTTGACAGCATATTTGTAGGATTGTTCTGCCTCCAGCTGCCTTCCACCCTGAAGAAGAAGAAGAAAGCAGTCCACAGTAAGCTGATCTTTTACAACACTATTGCAGTTGCAAGAAACTGCAAAGGGTTTAATTATGGGTTAAGAAAAAGAACGGACAGCAGAGAAACACTACTCCCCAATGAAGTACTTGTTAGTTGTCAACTTGAGGATAGAGGCAAACAAAAGGCAAATGATGTTGGGGGGGGTTGACACCCCCCCACACATTTCTGTTTTGATAAATAGCATCCTCGGACCCATTCATTTACCAGTTAAATATTTGAGGATTCCCACCCCCCAAAAAGATACACAGATGAACCATGTTAAGCTTGGGCATCAGAATGGTTGAGTACCTGTTTCCATTGAGCACCTCCTTGAAACCCTCCACCTAACATACTCACACTGCTGTAAAGAAAAGCAGATACGTCTTTTGCTGGGTTAAAAGGCCCTTGAGAGTTCACCTGCATGCAGACGAGAGCCAGATACGCCCACACTTCAGCATTGTTGTTGTTGAGGGCATTGGCCTCGGAGAGGGCATCTTCTGCCTCCACCATCTCTTTGAGCTTTAGAGAGGGAGAAGTAGACTGATTAAAAACGTAAGACCATGTGCTGTGCACTTGGCTTCAAGCATCAGCAGTGGGAGTGCACTGCAGCCGGATTAAAGAGCATCAGTCTCTTACCCTATAGCAGGCAATTCCTACTCCCAGCCATGTGAGACAGGAAGGTGATTTCTTACTGGCCAGCAGGTAGATGTCCTTTGCCTTGTCATACTGTCAGAGGAACAGAGGTTGGCAAATTACTCTCCATGCTATGACAATTGACACTATACTCTGTTTGTTTTGTTCTTGACAGAAGCCTTCTCAAGCCACTGTTTCAAAGAGAGCTACTCACAAAGGACGTTGGGGTTTTTAAAAAATATTTATTAGCTGCTCAGTAACTGTTGGTGACATAGAAAGGAATATCAAAACAAAAAACAAAACAAAAAAGGACTACTAAAACAAGATAAAATCAACCAATACAATCTAAAATGAGCACTTAATATAATTGTAAAAACTTTGCCCAGCAGAAAATAACCTTTAAAATTCCAGAATGTAAAACAAGCACATTAAAGGGCAGCAGATTCAACTAGTTCAGTGGCCCTCCTGCTTCTAACAACCAGGTGTGTCTCCAAGAAGCCCACAAGTAGGGCTTGAAGGCAACAGGCCTCCCCAGTCAGAGTAGGAGAGGTTCCCCTTAGATTTCATGTCAAGACTGCCAGCCCACCCAGCTCTTCTGTGTCCCACTGAACTTCCCATTTTATGCCTCCTCACCTCCTTCCTCTCCAAGTAGATGGATCCTAACCGCAGGTAGACAAAATGCATATCCTTTGCATCAGTCACAAAACTGATGGTCCGCTCATAGCAGGCTTTTGCCTCGCCAAAGTCCCCAGTCAGGTAGCAGAGATGCCCTTTCTGAGCCCAAACCTCTGGATTCTGCACAAAAAAATAAAATAAAAATGGTGGCAGGAAATGGAATAAGTGGTTCCATGCATAAGTGGTTGCATGCAATAAGTGGTTGGCATGCATATTTGTGGTATGAAAAGGTTAAAGTACATAGAGCTTTCTTTAATCATGTTGTAAGAAAATCAGTTTATGAAGTATGGGGAAAATATAAAAATTTATTAGAGCAAAAAACACCTTGGTGGCTCCCCCTATTAGAAGCGATATCCTTGAAAAAACTGAATATGAGAAATGATTGGGCAATGTGCAAAGATCTAGGTTTGAAGATATAAGAGAATTACTAATTGACTGGTTACTATCAATTAAATAATATATTTAAGGTAGACTAAAAGAATGGTTTTTGTACTGAAATCTCTAAATTTGAAAAAGAGTTGCTAGGGAATAAAACAAAATTACTTTCAAAAATGTATAAATTAATATTAGAATGGTATACAAAAAACAAACAGGTCAAATCAGTAATGATACACTGGGTGAGAGACTTTGGGTATAATATACAACAGGCAGAATGGGAGAAGTTATGAAATTGGGATTTAAAGTTCACAGCATACGTTGAAAGAAAATTATATGAAAATGATATATCGATGGTATTTAAAAAGGTAAAGGTACCCCTGCCCGTACGGGCCAGTCTTGACAGACTCTGGGGTTGTGCGCCCATCTCACTCAAGAGGCCGGGGGCCAGCGCTGTCCGGAGACACTTCCGGGTCATGTGGCCAGCGTGACAAGCTGCATCTGGCGAGCCAGCGCAGCACACGGAAACGCCGTTCACCTTCCTGCCAGTAAGCGGTCCCTATTTATCTACTTGCACCTGGGGGTGCTTTCGAACTGCTAGGTTGGCAGGCGCTGGGACCGAGCAGCGGGAGCGCACCCCGCCGCGGGGATTCGAACCGCCGACCTTTCAATCGCCAAGCCCTAGGCGCTGAGGCTTTTACCCACAGCGCCACCCGCGTCCCTTGATGGTATTTAACTCCTAGCAAATTGGCAAAAATGTATAAAACAGGCTCAAATGTATGCTGGAAATGTAAGGGAAAAGAAGGAACCTTTTATCATATGTGGTGGAAAGGTAAGGTAGTAAGGGGATTTTGAGAAAAGATATATAATGAGTTGGGGGGAAATGTTTAAAATAACCTTTGCTTAAAAACCTGAAGCCTTCCTTTTAGGAATTCTAGGTGTGGAAATCCCAAGGGAGCAGAAATGACTTTTTTGCGCAGATGTTATTGGCCCAGAGATGGAAAGAAGATAAAGTCCCTACCAGAGAAGAATGGCAGATCAAGTTGATGGACTATGCCGAAATAGCTAAAATATCCAGAAGAATCAGAAACCAGGAAGACCAAAATGTTAAGAAAGAATGGGGAAAATTTATAATCTTAAAGACCATTGTAAACAGTTAAAATCGTTAGTAGGAGTGGAATATCACTTGTAGTTTAATGGTGAATTTTGGATATAATGGAGATGTAAAAGATTTGGATCATCATAAAAGATGCAGGAGGAAATGATTAATAATAGGACCAACAAAGGGGAGGAGGGAAGTCCAGGAGATTCCTTGGAATCTTGTTTTTATGATTTATATTTGATATATGATTGTAAAATTTTAATCTGAGAAACCAAACAAATTTTTTTTAAAAAAAAAAGAAAGGAAGAAGGGGGTGGGGGTGGGGGGTTCAGAAGAATGAGTCTGACTAGGGCAGTGGTTAAAAAACATCTCAAAAAACAAAGGATGTGGTCAGGTCTGTGCAGAGTGAAGCAGCTGGGTACACTTGCCCCGGGCTTTGAAGGGCTAAGCTGGCTGGAGGTCCCCACCAGCGGTCTGCCGGACTTATGCTGTCATGCCAAGAATGCCCTGCGTCTCCCAGCCGGCCGGGGACTCTCACCCTGGGCCTCAGACAAGCCTGCACAGGCCTGGATGTGGTGATGGGGAATTCTGAGCTTTTCAATGCTTTCTGTAGGGAACTTTTACACAGGGAATCTCTGTCCTGCACAGAGGCAACAACCTGCTTGCTGAGGCCTCTGCTGCTGCTCATCACTCCAGTGTGCTGCTGTCTCAGATCAGTAGGCTAGCAGAAAAATGCCCCACAGCCTTGAAGAAGGAGCACACCTTGTATCACAGTAGAATCTGGTTGGCAACTGTGAGAATAGGATGCTGAACTCAATGGGCCATTGGCCTGATCCAGCAGCCAGGCTCTTCTTATCCTTTGATGTTGCAGAAAGGGCAGCTGTGTTAGTCGGCTGCAGTAAAAACAACTAAGAGTCTTCAGCCCCCTTAAAAGTTACAGCATAAACTTTGGTGGAATAGAGTCAACTTTGTCAGATACATGACATATTATTCCCAGTTTGGGGAGGTCTATGGAGATATATATTTGTGTGTGTGTATACATATAAAATCTCACACGTGCTGCCCTTTTTTCTGGTAAACAGTGGAATCAGATACAAAAGGTATTAAGAAATCGGGCATCACTGACGTGATGTTCGGGCACGGTTCTTTGGGAGGTGCCTGTCTTGTTGATGCTGGGTGAGCGGAAGGAAAGGGTGCTAAAAAGAGATACTTGCCAGGTAATCAATCTGGACGGCCATTTCCAGGCATTCTTCTGTCTTGCTGTATTCCTTCTTGAGCATGTATGTCTGGGCCAGCACCAGGTAGTAGTCACAGCTGGGGCCTCCTTGAGGGCAGAGCAGCTCATGTGCCAATGCCCTGTGAACAAACTGAGAAGGAAAAGCCAGCCCCAGGGTTTGTTATGCAGCCACGAAAACCTCCTGACCTGCTCAACCAGATGCCACTAGCCTTTATTCACAGTTAAATTTGCTGTCTCTTGCTCTCCTACCTATCAGTTCCACACAGTCCTGCTCCACATTCTAGCTGTGGCCTCTGGCTTCCAAATTTAGCTTACCCGGAGTCAAGCTTGTAACTCTGTGAGGTGTAAACTATAGTGCCCAGAATTCTTTGAGGGAAAGGAAGAGCTTTAAATGTATAGTGTGTACCCAGAGAACCCACAGAGCCAGTGCCTATGGCTAGAAGGAAAGGCCACCTTGAAGGTTTCATTTTTCACTCCCCTCATGAACGCACAACCAAAATATCATCAAAAAGCGGAAAAGAAGTAAAACAAGTTCCCTCAACTTATATTCCTGTTGATTAAAACTTGCCCTCCCTGTCTGTTTTTTGATGATTAATCAGTGGAGTCTCATTTGATTAATCTACCAGATGAAACCTGAAGCACTAGTTGATTCCCCATGGAAAGGGAGCAGCTCTACTTTGCAGTTGCCTCCACCCCACCCCCTGCCCTGTTAGTTCCACATTCACCTGGAAGGCATTGACGTCCATCAAAAAGTTAATCGTCTCCATGAAGATGGTGGTGGTGGGCTGTGGGGGAGGGGGAGGCTCTGTTTCAAAGACAACCTTGGGTTCTGAAATGAAGCAGGGAATTCAAGGAATTTAACAACAGACCTTAGATGCCTTTCTTTAGTACAGTATGATCACTTCTTGGGTAGGGGTTGTATTCCAGGGATGGCATGTATATGCAAGAATGCATATATTCAAGCCATCCCCTTGGAACTGCCCCTGTACAAGCATCCTTACCTTTCCAGAGTCCTGCACTGAGCTGGCCTTGACCCCCAAGCAAGGCAAAGACCGTTGAAGCTCTTTGTCTTGTTTACCAGACTCATGGATGCTCTCATGAAGACTCTGAGATGCTCTCGTGAGATCTCATGGGACCACCCAAGTTCCCCAGAGATCTCGCAAGGGAAAACCCTGTGCAAAAAAGAGCTTTTAAGCTCTCTGCTTTCTGTGCATTTAATTTGTGCAATTTCAACTGGCCAGCCTTCTCCAGTGTAAAGCTGAAATTGCACAAGTTAAACGTGCATAAGTTGCGATCATACTGTACTCAATTTATTAAATAAATGCAGAAAATACACATCTTCATTTTTCATTTAAAGTTTTCAGCAAACTTCCACTTTGCAAAGTGTGCCTGGTCCCCACACCACCACCACCAGCAGCAGCAGTGTCTATCCTCAACCCAGGCGTGAACCCTAAGCCAAGCCAAAAGCCTATGTTAAGAGAGCAAGTTGAGGAAATGCAAAATAAGCACAGCACTTAGGAGAATGCCAATGAAAAGGGAAATGGCTGCAGTTCATCTGTTTGCCTGTAGCCAGCAATGTAAATCAGTCCATCCAGGTCTGCAGGTCTGCTTTGTTTGGCTTCACTCACCCCTGAGCAGAAACTCTGTTCAAATGCAGGCTAGTAGTCCATTGGACAGGTCATCCTATGCAATCCAGACCCTGCTATGACCGCCCAAGCACATCCTTTTGATTTTGGCAGCTCTGCCCCTTAGATTGCTGGTGTCGTTTTGCTCATTTGTGCAGCAAGAGTGGTTCTGCTGCAGCTCATTCTCTTGCTTCCCAGTCGTAATCATCATTTGCCTCGAATCCTAATATTGTGGCCCCTAACCTTTCAGAGAAGGCAGCTTCATTCTACTGGGAGCCATCGACATCTTCCTGGACATCTTAGACACTCCTTCCTCTTCTTGCAGGCGGTGAAAGGATTCGTCATCAGACGCTAAAGGGGAATCATGAAAAATGAGAAAAAACAAAACGAGAACAAGCCTATCTTGATCTGCCTCTCAGATCCCTGACATTCAGCTTTGCCCAGTTATACAACAAGACTGGTGTTGTAGCTCATTCTATTTCTTCAAGGTATAGTCACACCCTCTCCAAGCCCAAGGTTGTGGCCCCAAACCTTTCGGAGGCGCCAGCCTCAATCGACTGGGAGCCAGGGACATCTTTCTGGCGATCTTAGGTTTCTCCTCTTCTGTCCGATGGATGGTTACGGGTGGCTCTGGGATGTCTGAAACTTCAACAGATGCTAAGGGGAAATCCAGAAAAATTAGAAAAGTCAAAGAAGAACAAAACTATCTTTGCATATTTCTAACTGGATAGCAAGTCTCAGTACAGGAGGAATGAGCTTACACACTCACACCCACATCCCTGATCCCATGTCCTGCCTGCAGAAGCCGATTGGTTGAGAGTTCTCTATGAACTTACTGGGTTAGCTAGAGTTACCGAGGAGCTCAGCCTTGCTGTTATTTTAATAATAATAATAATAATAATAATAATAATAATAATAATAATAATATATTTATACCCTGCCCATCTGGCTGGGTTTTCCCAGCCACTCTGGGTGGCTCCCAATCGAGTATCAAAAACACAATACAGCATTAAACATTAAAAACTTCCCTAAACAGGGCTGTCTTCAGATGCTTTTTAAAAGTAGGATAGTTGCTTATTTCCTTGACATCTGATGCCCCTCGCAGCTTCTTGACACTACAAGCCCCATGATGCCTGGGAAGGAGTGCAAAGCAAATGCTTAAGACAGTGAACAGGAGTCTGTGGCCTACAAGTCCCATCATGCTGGCTGCGCTGGGGATTCAAACCATTTCCTCCAAACAGAGTATTTCCCCACTGCAGATATCTCCTTTAAACTTTTGACAGTTGTCAATCACTTGGTGGTGTTATGACATCAGGTGACTGACAGATGGACGGGACCACCCCCTGTTGAAGCCCCCCACCCCAGGTGCAGGTGAATTAAGGATCTGGCCTGTCAGGTTCCCCAGTAAGATCAAGAAGCAAAACCAACACTTCAGAAAGGGCAAAGGAGTCCAGGAAGGATGAGAGAGATTATAGGCATGACCAGTATATGCAGAAATGCACACACTCGCACAGTGCCAAACTCAGAAGGGACCTGGAAACGTCATAAAAGATGTCACTAAAAGGGCAGAAAGGGGGCAGGGCAGAGTTGGAGCAGAGGCAGGATGGGACAGAACAGGGTGTTTCAATTGCATGCTATTTAACGGACGGCCACAATGACCTCCCGGACCGCAATCCTCATGCAAACTGGGTTTGCCTGTAGTCATAAAAATAAATTTCCAGAAAAATGAGAGGAAATGTTTTGGGATAAACAGAGTTCTAATCCCAGAGACACAGATGATGTCCCTGTTGGCATAATATATTCTGTCTGTTGTGAACATGAATATTTTTGACCTGCTGTGAACATGCTGCGCCTTTTCCAAGACCCCATTGTTTACAAATTCCCTGCAGGCAGAGTCTCAGCTTACGTAGCTCCTCCTCCGCTGAAACAGAAAGAACTTCCACCGCTGAAGGAGACATGGAGACCTTTCGTACTGCTGCATCTCCAACCTCAGGTGGAGGTCGCTCCTTCTGGAGAGAAGCCTTCTGGAGTTTGAAAGCCTTCTGAAATGCCATCTCCACCCTAATGTCATTCTCCTGGATATCATAGAATAGCCCTGTGGGAAAGGCAAGCAAGAGAGTTGCATCACTGCTGGGAGGTGGGAGGGGGCCTCTCAACCTGCAGTGCAACCAGCTGGCCAGGCATCTTAATGGTTCGTGCAGGAAGGAGGTGATAAAATTCACCCTCCTTTCTGTCAGGGAGTAAAGGGGGGGGGAGGGTAATTGACTGTAACTGACCTGCATGAAAGACTCTACGATCTGAAAACAGAGACACTGCATGTAGTCTCGTTACTTACGGAAAATATTTTAATGAAAACATACTAAAGGGGGAAAAAACTAGTCCTACTTAGAGTAGATCCACTGAAGTTAATAGAATGACCAACTTAGGTTCATTAGTGTCAGTGGGTTTACTCTTGAGTAGGACTTAGTTGGCGACAGCCCACTGTGCTGGTGTTGTTATTGTTAAACCACTTCTTTGGAAGAAAAGAGAAATCCCCTCCAAAGAAGAGAAATAAATACTGTTCGTCTTCATAAGGGCTAGAAGCTTGTTCCCCCGCTCTGGGATTCTCAAATCATTCTACACCAGGCGTGAGATTCCATGCTTGCACAGTGTATATGTAACTTGAATACAACCCATGGAAGAGATGCTCAGACTCTGCAGCCAAGGAAGTGCAGCTGAGATGTTCTGGGTTGGAAACAGGCGAGAGAGCGGATGGTGAACTAAAATGGAATAAAACCGACACCTGCCTGTGAACAAATGGACCCGAGCCTTAAAGTTCCTGTATGTGTGCAGAGGGAATCCTACGATGTCAGAAGTGTGCCCAGTACCGATGAAGAGAATACCAGGATAAAGCTCATTAACAAGACCACCCCAGCAAATCCAGCTGACCTACCTAAGATGGTCCAGGCCAGAATGCTGGAGGGTTCCAAGCAGGTGGCATCCTCAAAGAAGACCTCAGCATCTTCGTAGTTCTCCAGCATCACAGCCATGATGCCACAGAGCAGTATGCTGGGCAGACAAAACCAAAGACTGAAGCAGCTGCCCACTAGCAAAAAGGAAGCAAGCAAGAACCCACTGCACGGTGTAGCCTATGAGCGTTCCTACTACAGTAAGGATGGAAGGTAACTAAGTGTTACTCAGACTAGACCCATTGAAATTATGAGCCTAACTTTGCCATGCTCATTAATTTCAATGAGTCTACTCTGAGTAAAACTTAGTTGCCTACCACCCAATGTCTCTTTCTGGATGCTCACTTGGAAGCAAGTGCCACACTGTGATCAATGGGGCTTTCTCCCAGTTCAGTGTGCATAAAGCATGCCACATTGTGTTGGAGCCAGGTTAAGTTACTTACACATTGTTCCCACTGACATCATTGCACAGTGCCAGATTAAAGCCTCTGGAGGCCTCTAGGCAGTCAAAAAAATTGGGAGGCCCCTCGCACATTATCTCCTAATACGTGTATTTTATTTTGCCAGCCAAGCATTTTAATAAACCAATTTTATTACACCATATTATTTTGATCCATTGTTGCGGGGGCCCTAAAAGGTGTGAGGCCCAGAGGTCCGTGCCTATGCTGCCTATTTGGTAATCTGGCACCGTCATTGCACTTTAAATCATGACTAACTTACCCCACTGATTTCCATGGGACCCAAGTTCAACCCAATATCTGAAAGACCCCCTACTTCCCTACAAGCCTCCCTGGGTGTTAATATCACCCAGGGGGCCCTTCGTGGTAATTCCACTGGCTTCAGAAGGTTTTTTTGTAGGTCTTTGTAGGTCAATGAAGGTGTTATGTGGTCTCGGCGGCCGCTCCCAGTCACCAGTCTAGCTGCCGCATTCTGGATTAGTTGTAGTTTCTGGGTCACCTTCAAAGGTGCTGATGCTTGCTACAGATTGTGAGCAGGATAGCAGCAGCATGAGCACTAGTGACATATATATGCACAGAAGCCCATGTGCCCAGCCATTCTATTTTTTTATTTCCCTTTAGAAAAAAGGTGGGAGATCAGGACATGTTACAGCTCAGCCTCCAAGCATTGCACCTACGGTATACTGTACTATTTTTAGCTGGAGGGGAGAAATGCCCTCAATATTCATCAGCTACACAAAGCCTTTCTTGCCCCATGAGAATTGTCTGAACAAGGCCGCACATCTCCCCTCCCTGCCTGCCTCCTGATACCAAGTACTACCTGGGTAGGTGATTGGGGTCCAGGCTAACAGCCTCACGGAAGCACTCCTGGGCTTTGAGATTGTTTTCAGTCAGCAGACAGAAAGTGCCATAATCCAACCAACTCTGGATATCCTGGCGGTCGCGAGACAATCTCTGTGGATGGACACACCATTGCGTAAGTTGACTCCCTGATGTTCCATGGTTTTGAATGGATAAAAACTGCACATTAGAAATGGGGCTCCATCCTTCTGATGAGTCACCTGATCATGCTCCAAATTCGGAAGGCTGACAGACATCCCATTAGTCTTATTTGATTTTAATTTGGCCTCAGGGTTTGTGAGCCATTATGCACCTGGACAAAACCCCTGCAGAGGTTCTCTGGTCCATCTAACTATATGTGTACTGGAGCTGCCTTATACTGAATCAGACCAAAGATGATCCATCTAGCCCAGCATAGTCAGCTGCCCAGCAGCCCTCTGTGCCACAACCTGAAAAGAGGCTAATGGCATACAGCTCCAGGCAGCAGAGCAGAGAGCCCCACTGCTGAGCTAAAGAGCCACAAATCACAAGACTGTGATATTTAGCTTGGCAGTACATGCAAAGAGGACTGAGGCAGGGGAATATTTCTTCCAGTTCCCACAGCAGCAGGGATACCAGAGGCCTAGGGGAAACTCTTCAGCATCATTCGCCCCCACACATTTCTTAGCCACCCAACTGGTGAGGGATGAGCAGCGTTTCTTGAATTGTTTTGGATTTCTTGTAAGTTGCTTGGAGACCATTTGACTGAATAGAAATCTTTCAAAAATAAATGGTGCTAAAGAAGCAAAAAAATAGTGCCAATTATACAAACAAGCCAAGTCACACATTATTAGAGAAGTAGGCACTGTCATGCACCCACTCAACAGTAAAGGTCATTACTAGTCAATCTTATCTGGGAAATAGTCTTTCTGACACTCAAGATCTCAGTCAATGAGGTCTAGTTCAAAGAAAGAGCAGTTTAGGTGGCATGAACTGTGAGCAGGGGTGGATGCATGGTTGAATGTTTCCCATCAGAGGAGGCGGGGACCCAGAACAGAGAAATCTAGCATGTCAGGGACAAAGCTGGCATAGAACACTTCTCCCTTATATACTTGCCTTCTATGTGTGGGCAGTTTTAAATGGAGGAGCATTTACTTATGTAATCCTTTGCCTGCAGTCCAAAGCCATACAGTCTGGGAGTTGTTTTACCACCTCAGTTTTTGGCCTTACAACCTTATTGAACAATATGCACCCCTTATGTTTCCCCAAGAAAATGGGCTGTATTGGTTCAAATCCCACCTCTCTCACATCTTGCCTCTAGCTGCAAAAGACATGGATAGGTAAAGGTAAAGGTACCCCTGCCCGTACGGGCCAGTCTTGACAGACTCTAGGGTTGTGCGCCCATCTCACTCTATAGGCCGGGGGCCAGCGCTGTCCGCTGACACTTCCGGGTCACGTGGCCAGTGTGACAAGCTGCATCTGGCGAGCCAGCGCAGCGCACGGAACGCCGTTTACCTTCCCGCTAGTAAGCGGTCCCTATTTATCTACTTGCACCCGGGGGTGCTTTCGAACTGCTAGGTTGGCAGGCGCTGGGACCGAGCGACAGGAGCGCACCCCGCCGCGGGGATTTGAACCGCCGACCTTTCGATCGGCAAGTCCTAGGCGCTGAGGCTTTAACCCACAGCGCCACCCGTGTCCCTTCAAAAGACATGGATACACCCCCCAAAAAAAATCCCAACCACCCTACCACAGCCCCTTAGGATTTTTAACACATCCTAAAATGCAAATGATGAAAACATCCTTTCTAAATGTCTCCAATGTCTCCAATTTTGCCAGAGAGACTCTTTGTTCCTGCAGCTGTTCTGCTTGGAGAGGAGCAGCAGTTCTGTCACCTCCTGGTAGTAGGTCGCTGCCAAGTTATAGTCTCCGTTGTTCTGGGCTTCGCGGGCAAAAAGACGGAGCTGCTCGGAGGTGGTAAAGCTGGGAGGAGGAGGGCTGGGGGTCTGCTGGGACAGCACCTGCCGAAAGGTAAGAGAACAATGCAACTATTACAGATCAAATGGCAGAGGCTTACACTTGAATGGGATTTTCAGTAATAATGGGGTGGTTGGAAGATTGCCCCTTGGTGCGTAAATAATATGTGATGGGGTTACAGAACCACCTGGGCTAAACCTGCCTACGTCCAAGATTCCTGGACAGCCACTGCCAGTCAGTGCAGACAATACTGTGGTAGACAGGCCCAATGGTCTGACTCGCTGTAAAGCGAGTTACCTCCTTATGTACGCCAAACATATGGATGGTGATGGGTGTGGCTGGATTTGTTTGCCTTGGCCGGCAACTCCCTTATGTTTCTCCAATGATGCTTGAAAATATTGTACCCCAAACTTCAGTGCCTTCCAAACATTTTGGACTACAGCCTTACCTTGGTTCTCGAACGGAATCTGTTCTGGAAGTCTGTTTGACTTCTGAAAATGTTTGAAAACCAAGGTGCGGCTTCCGATTGGCTGCGGGAGCTTCCTGCACTCATTCGGAAGCTGCGAAAGTTGTGTCGGACGTTTGTTTTCCAAAGAAGGTTCGCAAACTGGAGCACTCACTTCAGGGTTTGTGGCGTTTGGGAACCAAAATGTACGAATACCAAGGCATTCGACAACCAAGGTACGACTGTACTACTGTGCTGGCTGGGGCAGAAGGGAGTGGTGTGGCAATCCCAGCATAGTATAGAAGCCATAGACTGGTAGTTGACAGTCCAAAATCCTGATTAAAACATAAACAGCTTCCAACACTGATTCTTACTCCAACCTCTGACAAGTCCTCAAACAGTCCCAAGAATAAAACAATGGTTTGTAGATTTGACACTTTCTAAGGTGTGCCTTTCTCTTCCAAGCTGGCCTTACCTGATTCAGAGCAACATGCATCTGATCCACCAGGTACACGTACAGCTCACTCAGAAAAGCTTGGAGCTGGTCCAAGTTGTCGAATGCAGTTGTTTTCAAGTACTTTTCTCGCACAATTTTCACCACGGCATGCTGCAGGAAACACAAACCCTCCAGTTGACATTTTTGGGAGTGGGGAGACAGAAATCCAGAAAATACAGGTTTTAATCCCCCTATTGGGCTAAATGAGATTTAAAGAAAACGTGGCTTTTAAAATGCAGGGGGATTCAGTAAGGTATCGTTTTAACACAGAAAGCGATGAAGAAATTCACTGATGCAACAACCATGTATGAAAGAAATGAATTGAAGTGGAGCTTATACCTTGATTTGCTCCTTAAATGCAAAGTATTTCCCAGAGCTGTTGAGCTCATAGTTGAGCTGGCATTTCTGGTTCTCCAGGATGTGGCTGTCAATGGCATACCCTTCAACCAACTGTCTGCCAAACAGCTCGTGATACTCATCCAGAATGGCCTCAGCAATGCTGGTGACCTGAGTGTGGTAATCTTCTACTGCCTAAAAAGACAGAGAAATAAAAGCCAGAAGCTCAGTGGGAGAACATTTGTCTTGCATGCAAAAGGTCCCAGGTTGAATCCCTGGCATCACCAGTTAGGGCTGGGAGAGACCCCAGTCTGAAACCCTGGAGAGACATCTCCAGTCAGTGTAGTAGATAATACTGAGATAGAAATACCACTTGTCTGGCTCAGCATAAGGCGGTTTCCTATGTTCCTAAGAAAAGACTGAGACAACGAGTGACTCATCTGAACTCTTGCTTGGAAAGAACCGTTCTGACTGAATATACCAATTTATCACCAGTGAAGTCTCTGAAAGACTTCCATCCCAAAAAAGTGCAAGGTGCAGTGCAAATCATTGCTTAGATACCCAGATAAGGAAAACTGCTGCGATGTATGTTCTGGAGCATCAAAGCACTGAAAGAGAATTGAGACCGGAAAAACCCGTCGTGGGTGTTAGAGTAGGGTCACAGGCAGCAAGGCTGGGTGATGGCTGAGATAGTGTTTATTGTCATCCCATGCCAGAGGTAGCACAGCATGGCAGACAGTGTCAGACTAGGAGGACCAAGGGGATCTCAGTTCAAATCCTCACTCAGCCATGGACTTCACTGAATGACCTTGGGCCTGTGTCTCAGTTTAACCTAACTCACAAGATTGCTGCAAAGATAAAACAGGAACCCTGTACATGGCTTTTATTCTTAATTTATTTGGCAAATGTGTGCAAGGTGAGTACGATCTCTTCGGAATCACAGACCTCCACTAAGGAGACAGGTTAGCTTTCAGCCCAAGGACTCGCCACATAAGGAAGTGGCATGTAGATTCTGATAGTGTACCACTTAACCAAATTCTCAGGGCTGTGTATGTGTCGTGATTCTACAGGGAAGCAAAATATCTGCTTAAGGCAATAATGAGGATTTCCAGCAATTCTCTATTTCCTCCCCCTTCCCCCTTTTAAAGGCATGTTTATAGCTCTCATGGTAACAAATAAATGCTTGGAAGTATGTGTAAGAAGACAATGCCTGTTGAGCTTTCAGAAGCCATAGGGTGGCTGAACAAAATTTCAAGTGGTCGGGGTGGTGGTGCAGCTTTTGTGTGCTGCTTAAGTCCCCATAACAAGGCAAACCAGAATAAATTGTGTCAAGTAGGCAAAATAAATTACACACAGTAAGAGATAATATGCCCGTTTGTGCACACCATTCGGTTTCTAGCACAGAATTTTCAATTCCCCACTCCCACAGGCAGAGTACAGAAAGCTGGGTGAGTACACTTATTCTGCTCTATACCTTCTTAGCTCCTGCAGTCCTTCGAGGGAGTTGAGGGCGTGGAGGAATCATCTCCTTTACCCTGTATGTGCAAGACAAAATTCAGTGGGTTCCAAGTCTGCAATTCTATACATAAATGTTGACCCTAGACCCAGATCTCAACACTTAAGCCTATGAGCTAGGAGTTCCTCAAAGCAGATCGCAGACTAAAACCCAGGCCAAAAACTGTGTATTAGGGTCATTTTGCCTTTAAATGCAAACAGAATCTAATTTCTCCCCCAACCCTAATGATAGTGTGAATAGGACCTTTGTAAAAGCATGCAATTTGCTGGAGCTGTCCAAGGTCCTACAACTCTAGCACAACCTTTCTTGCTACCAACCAGCTGACTGTGCCACCTTCAGATGTTTTCCACTCTAGCTCATGGTCAGAAGAGGACACCATGGAAGATTAAAAATCTGTAGTAACTGGCCTGGCCTTGCCCATGGAGCAAATGGAAGGAATAACCCATCTCAGGAGAACCTCATCCACTGAAGTAAAAATTTACAAAGCACTTTAGGATACATGATAAATTTTATAGAACATGTTCTTTGACATCCCTCCCTCCCTCCCCAGATCACTGCCCATGCGCACCGGCTGGCGAGCTCCTCTGGCAAACGCTTGGGCACCAAAGGTTTGTCCAACGCAAACTCTATCACAATATATGTCCCGCTTTCTATATATTGCTGAAACGACAAAGCAGGTTGACACTTTCTCAGTCTTAAGATCTTAAGAGCATTTTCATAGATGAAGATTAAACAGTTTGCATCTCTCTCACACCATATACCAGCCAGTACAAAAGAGGAATGGAGGCTGGGAATTCCTAATAGCAACGAGCATTCTGTCCACCATAGGCTTTGCATTAACTGTTTCTCTGCCTTCATGTTGCATTCAACAGATGAATCTGTCAGTTATTCTAATTCCGATCAACACCTGCTGTGCCCTGCCTGCTAGCTTTAGGTGAGTTATCCACCTTTTAAGAATAAAGTTTCAAGCACTGAATGAAAAGTGCTGATTTGTCACAAGGAAAAATGGTAAAACAGCTCCAGGGATGGCAGGCATGAGGGAGTGGGAATGTGACACTGCAGGCACTCGCTAACCAGCACAGTGTACAGGCAGCTTCTACTGTAAAATGGCCAAATCAGTTTTCTATGGCGTTCACACGTTTAGAGTAATCTGTACACGATAGGGTAAGTGTGCTTCTCTAGTGGTTCAATCAAACCAGTTAATGTCCATTTTGGAATACATCCAAAGTGAAAATGCTTTGATCCACGAGATCCCTTCATTCCCGTCTCGCCCACAGAAAGTCCAAAAAAGTACAGCAGCCAGGAGCTGGTCATCAATACCCCTCCCATTAGTGTCAATGGATTATTATTATTATTAGTGTGCTGCCCACGTTTCGCACGACTGCTGTTTTTTTGCTAATCTATTTACTCATGTTTTTAACAGTAGTGTAAGACATTTGGGAGACCTAAATATAAATAAAATAATCTAAATAATGATAATAACTAAAAACCGACTGAATAGGGAAAATTAAAAAAAGGAACATCTGCCTCGAAACACACCTTCCACCCTAATTGGCACAAGTGGATGGGGCTTAGGAAGTGTTGATCTCTGCCAGAGATTCTCCCTTTGCACCACCCTCATTGATTCTCTGCCTGTCATTAATTGGAATCGTCTTGGGTTCCAATTTAAAAGCAGCAATAATGTTTGCCACTAAAAGCATATATCCCTACTAACAGATACTGCAGCACAATCCTTAATATTACCAAACAGTATAATGGAATTTTAATGGAATTGCTCTCAGAATAACATATATCCCATTATATTTAATTGCATCTTTCCAATAATTCTTTTTAGGGGCAATCAAATCTGCTAAATCTGCCTCATCTATGCTGCATCTTCAACATTTTGCTCAATTTATATGCCCCCGTATAAATGGTTTTATTTAATATTCACACACAGGGAAGCAATTAGGACTAGAAGTCAAGATAGATGTTCCACTTTTCATCTGATAACTTTCATCTATATTTCATTTCATTATTTTATATATAAGAAAGGAAATTACTATTTTATAATAAAGAAAGCTATGACAGTGCACCATTTCAGACTGTTGGATCCTCATTCTTTCACCTGTTTCAAATGAGGAAGAAATGAGAAAACTGATTGGTTGACAGATTGGCAGACTGACAAATAAAACTAAAGAATAATGTTTAAACAAGCAGGGGAGAGACTTTAAGAAACAAGGGAGGCAGAAAGAAATATGGGAGGGCAGCCCATATTTTCAGAAAATCCTTTCTGGTAGATGAAGGAACACATATTTCCATATCAGGATCTTGCTTGTTCCTTTTATTAAGAAATATTAGCTCCTCGTTGTCTACACTATTGTATAAACTCCACCAACAAAGGCTTTTGAGTGGCACATCATTAGCTTTCTGACTAACAATCAATCAAGTTCTGCAAATTCAGGCCTTGTATGATGGGAGCGAGAACGATACAACCAGCCAGTGTTCGAAACTCCCATTGTTCTAGGTGCATTTTGTGATATGGAATTTCATTAGCGCAAACAGTTTCTGAGCTCTGGGTGCAGTACTGTGCCTAAGATTTCAAACTAAAACTGCAGAGTGGAAGGAAAGGAGGACCTTTTTCTGCCTTCCCACTTCCAGCTACTCTCTGAAGACTGGAGAAGAGACCCTCTTAAGAATATTAGGGGTGTGGGCAGGGGAAGGACTAGGCCATGTGAAAAATGAACATAATATTTTCACTGCAGTTCATTCATTTTCAGTTTTGTATTGTTATAAAAAATGCGCACCTAGAGTCCACAATTTCCCAGTCATCCACTTAAGGAATATACTTACCTGCCCTTCAATGTTCTGGCATATAGATATTGCCGCTTCAATTGTGGTATCAGATGTGTCCCTTCTCACAATATTAGATGCCTTGTAAAAAATAACAATGATCAGATTTAGCACAGCTGCTATGTGGGAAGCTTCTGTCCAATCAGTTTCTGCCTTTCTGTTCCCCAAGGCCAGAACTATGGTAGCCATATGACCTAAAGCCTATCTGCAGTCCCACATTCCATACTAAGGACCTCAAAGCATTTCCTTGAGGCATTGTAAGAAAACTAAATAGTGGATAGAGCCAGCCAGCTGTCTCAGCTTCAGCATTGCAGCTGCTGCACACTTCCACTGGCTGAGCAGCCCACCACAAGGCATTCTGCTATGGGCCACCACAGCCCAAAGAAAACACCGCAGCTGTTACAGGCCTGGTGCTGCTTTGACTTGACCCTCAGGAACAGACACGGGGTGTTCTCCCCATTCATTATCCATGATTCCACAGTCATTTTGGGATGTGGCATTTACAGTGGTTATATAGGCGGCTTCCAGTTGGGAACTTTGGTTCTTCAGATGTTGCTGAACAACAGCTGCCATCATACCTAGCCACTGAGCATCCTTGCTGAAGTGGATGCAAAGTTCCGCTTCATCTGGAGGGCCAAAGATTCCCAGCTCTTGTTATGCAAAGCACTATCCCCTCATTGCTGTTTGCCCTCCTTGCCAAGTAACTTTTTTGTTTTCAAACGCATCAGGAATTTCACCAGGACTTTCTCTCCACATTCACCTTTCTCATTACGACCTCTTTAGTGGGCCTGTCTTCCTTTGTAGTCTTCCCAAGGATACCTTTGGTATGTGGGGTGAGCAGCCCTAATTTATTTAGGGCTGTCTGGTGGCCGATGTCACGGAAAAGACTGAAGAGACACTTCGTCTGAAACAAGAGAGAAGGAAAGGGGTCTACTGTCTGCATTTTGTTCAAGCTCCCCCACCCCCCCCAATCTACCTGATCAGCTAATGCACACAACACTGGCAAGATACCTCTCCTCTCCACTGCAGTCCCTGAGAGAGTTTGGCTACTGTCTGAAAATGTTCCCTTTTAAAAATAATAGGAAGGAAGACTGACAGGACTGAAGACTGACTTAGTGTCTTGGCAGAAGCTGGTCTCACACCATGGGTGAAGAACTCGCTGCAATTCCTCTTTCAATATGACAGGCTTATAAACAGCCACTTCACCTGTTTGCCTATGGCATGTAGTAACTGCTCCCAGGCAACCAGTTGGCTCTTGTCTTCCCCTTTTAGACCAGATATTCTAACATAGGTTGGGAGGGGGGGCTATGTTTGCAACCCCGTAATCTTAGTGCCTTAAATATTTGAAATATTACATCTGTCTTCAGCGTGGTATTCCTAGCTCCATCAAGATATATCCTGGGATAGGCTCAAGGCTTTCCTCTTTTCTCCTGTTCAGGCATGGGAGACTCACCTCACTTGCTGAGACCCCTGGCAAGAGCATCAAGTGAAAGGCAGGCCACTTAGTGCAGGTTCTTACCTTTTCAAACACCTCATTGTCAAGATAAGGGTAGACCCGGAATGCACCCCGGATCCGCTTCACCCCAGGATAGAGCAAAGGCACTGCGTTGATGTAAGCCACACCATGAAAGGAAATCTGCTCTTCTTCTCCGCCACCTCCTCCTCCCTGGAAATTGAAAAACAGAGATTTATAGATCCCCTCAATCTATAGTCCTGAAAGCTCACAGCAAGCAGGCAAAGCAAAGAGGGAACAGAATCACAGCAACAAAACAGAAGAACATTTCAGCAAATTCCCAGAACTTTTCCCATTATTTGCTGACTCAGCTCTGAGCACTGAAAGTCATCCTGAAATATGCAAGCTTCACAGGGCTTGTGAAAGGTGCTCAGGTTTGGACTTCGGAGAGTCTGCAAGGAAGGGAGTTCATAACAGGAGGCAAGTGATCAAAATGATCTCAGAGATAATCATGGGGCAGATGGGTATAAGTGCTCTCGAATGTATGCTGGGTGAAAGCCCAAGCAAGTGGAACAAGCCCTTGCTTTCAAGAAAAGGTTTTAGGCAGCACTATGGCATGAAGTCCTGGCAAAGAAAGGAACTTCCAGCTGAGCCTCCCTGAGACAAGGAACAAAAAGGCAACCAGCCTCTTGCAGGGGTAATAAAGAAGGGACATGGAAAAGACTTAAGAGCCTCGGACATAAGATTACCAGGTTGATGGACTAGATGGAATGGACAGTAAGGACTGACATAACCCGAGACCAGGAAAAAGAGACGTTGGATGAAGATTGGAAGAAAGTTCATAAAGAAAATTTTTTATTTCGGGAATTAGTGTAAAATTAATGAATATTAGGCAAAATGTTGGAATGAAACTGTTTGGCTTTAGTAGAAATGATATAAGGAGTTATGTATAAATAAGTATTAAGTTTTAAGCTCTAAGGTATTTTATGGTAAGATAAGGTTAAATAAATTAAGGCAAATTGAATAACAGAATATGGTGAAAGATGAAAAGGATCTGCTGAGTTAATTAATAGGTTAGACTGTTAAGATAAATTATTTAATAAAAATTGAGGTAAGAATAGATTGATAATGGGTAAAGATGTAAAATTCAAGGCCAAATTGTGTTAAGACAAATTATGGAATTAAATTTGAGAAAGAGGGAAAGGACCTGCTGAAACAACTAATTGAACAAGAATACAAAAAAGGGAGGTGTAAGGAAGTCAAGGAAATAAGCAAATGAAAGATAAGGATATGAAAATACTGGTTCTTTTTTTCTATTTTCTTTTTTAAATGTTTTTGCTTTTTAAATGTTTTTTTTTTTAATGTTTTGATGTACTGTTGTTGTTTTTTACTACTGTATTTTTTCTTTTCTTCTTACCTTTCATTGTTTGTTTTTCTTTTTTCTCTATTTGTTAAACTCTAATAATAATAATAATAAATTTTATTTATATCCCGCCCTCCCCAGCCGAAGCTGGGCTCAGGGCGGCTAACAACAATAAAAATAATCCGACATTCTAAAACATTCATTATAAAATTAATTAAATCAAATTAAATTGAAATCAAATTAATGGCAACCATCAAGCCAAATTCTGTGCATATTGCCGATTGCCGGAGGAGGGGGTCAGGCTGCGCCCTGACCAAAGGCCTGGTGGAACTCTAATAAATATCTTTAAAAAAAACAATAAAGAAAAACCAACTGATCAATAAGCAGAGCTCATTTTTGTCTCAAGAACACATCCAGGCAAGTAACAACAAAAGAGATAGGGCAATGACTCGTAGCATCCCTGAGGGCTCTACCAGTATGATTAAACACTTTTAATTATACGAATGCTCTTCTTTTGCTTTGAAACCTTTATGTGTTTCTCTGGGTAATGCAAAATATAAAATAATAATAATGTGTATACATGATTCAGGTCTCTAATACACACACATTCTGCCTCCATTAATGCCAACATAAATCCACACTTGGTTCATGACTGACTCTCCTCTGGAAGGCTGAACTTCATTAAGCGGCAGATTTTCCCCAGGCATAATACTGCTAGCAAATGAATCAAGGCAACATTTAAGCACCCACTTGTTCTCACCTTCCATGCTTAAGCATAACAGGTACTTTACCTTGTCTCCTTTTCCACCTTTTGTTTTGGTGGAAGTGACCACAGGCACTCTGGTCATCTCCACAGGCCAGTACCGACAATCTGCAATCCGCTTTCGAAAACTGTGGCATAGAGAAAGACAGGCAGAAAACAATAATTATTCTAGACCAGTATGATGTAATGGTTAGAGTGCTGGACCAGGATTTGGGAGACTGTGGTTCAAATTCCCACTTGCCCCTGAATTCACCATCTGTCAGTCTAATCTACCTCACAAAGCTGTTGGGAGGAAAATATGGAATATAATGAAGATGAAACACCAATTAGTCTTTTGTATCAATGAACAAAATGACCACCAATGGTATGAATACACCTGAAAATGTGGCTATACCATACATCTTTGCTCAGAAAACATGTGTGTCAGCCAGCAGTCACAGTCAAGTAATGGAGTCCTGACTGACACTTCTGGTTTGGCTCTAAATTTTGTGGCTATTGAATAGTGGGTAGACATAGCAGACGACACAGCGATTTCTCCAAAGCAGCTCTTTATTTGTAAGCTGTCACAGAACTGAACTAACTGAGGAGCTCAGTCAGCCTGCTTATATAGAGCTCCAGAACAATGTAACTGTTGCCATTTTCTAAAACTATCCAATCACTGAACGTCACTTTCGATCCTTCATTTGCATACAAACTATCCAATCACTGAACGTCACTTTCGATCCTTCATTTGCATAACTATCTACAGTATCCTCCTGCTGGCCCAGGGTGAGAACTTCAGTACATAACAGTGGCCACTCTCACTGCTAATGCCAGATGTAGAGGGTTTGCATCATAGAGAAGCAGACACAGAGCAATAGCCGCTTTCTGTTCAGTACCAGAAATTCAAGCTACATGTCACTTGCTCACCATTATGGTTATTCCTATTTGCTTTGCAGAATGCATGGGTTGTTTGCACCCCTGCAGTCACTGGCAGCCAGTACGGTTGCCTATTTAGGACTAGGAATGGGGAAAACCCAGGTTTATATTCCCACAGCCCTCCCCAGAGGTTCAGTGGGCTGGTCACTTTCTCTCTCTGTCTAACCTACCCCACAAGGTTGTTATGAAGATAAAATGGGGTGAGGGGGCCATGCTTAACACCTTGATTTCCTTGAAGCAAAGGCAAAATATAAATGTTACGATACTGTCAGGGGCTCAGGAGCAGAGGCACAGGGGAGAGAGGAAATGGAGAGCAAAGGGGAAGAATCTGAGGGCAGCGGAGGGCAGAATGACAGTGACCCGAGAGATTCCATGAGCCTCTCCAGTGAATCAGAAGATTCCCAGAAGGGGGCGCCTATGGCCAGGGCAAGGGGGGTCCCAGGGGGGACACACCAGAAGCAGGGGGCCAGCGGAGACTCCCAAAGCAGTAGCTGGAAATCAGGGCCAGCTTCCCCACCAGAGCGTAGTGAGAGGGAAGAGCCCCATAGGTCAGAGTCAGCGTCTCCTCCGGCCAGCAGGGAGGCGGAGTCAAGCTCAGCTGGCATCCCCGAAGAGGGAAGCAGCGACAGGAGCAGTATAACGGTCAGAAGGAAGGTGGCAGGCTGGGCGCGCGCGCCAAGTTCAAATGTACAGGCGCGCGGGACAGCAGAAAGCACGGATTGGGAACCAGGTCCTAAAGCTCGCCGGAGGGAGGGGGAAGACTCAGGGGATTCAGCCTCAGAAGAGTCTAGGAAGGGCAAGGCCTCGGCGGACAAGCGGACCCAGAGGAAGAGGGAGCAGAGGAAGAGGTGGAGCAAAGCTAGGGTCTTAAACTGGTGTCTGGGGGGAGGAGACTCAGACGGAGCTTCGACGGTCTAGGGTTTCAGACGTAGGGCTGCGCGCCACGGCTGTCCAACCAATAATGAACTTCAATAAAGACTTCTGTATATAAAGAGGAACTGGCGTTGGTCCTTTGTGAGCTGGGACCAGGGGCAGCTCTGACAGATACTATTACTAATAATCTGACGTGCCACAGACACCACTGCAAACCAAGCCAGAGATGCACACAGGTATGTAGGAAGGTGCCCTTTACTGAGTAAAACCATTGGTCCTTCCAGTTCTGTTTTGTCTATGCTGACTGGCAGCAGGTTTCAGGCAGGAAGTCTCTCCCAGTTCTACTTGGAGATGCTCAGGTATTGAACCAGGGACCTTCTGCATGCAAAGAAGATGCTCTGCCACTGAGCTCTGGCCCTTCCATTAACACTTACTTAGCACTGATATAGAGCTTTATCTCAGTAACTGTCATAATAACTTTTGTACAGCAGGTCAAGGCCAGTCAGATCTCGGCCACCCAATAGTGTCTGAAGTTCTCTCTCACAAGATTGCCAGTTCTTTGCTATTAGCCACTATATTGCAGTAGGCCTCATCTAGTTCCTTTGGGCCACTCTATGTAAGTTATGAGCCCATGGAGAAAGGCCTATGTTTTCTCACCAGATCACAGCAAGAGGATCTAAGTAGCAGCGCCTTTCCAAGTCCCACATAATCCGTTTTTTAACAGTTTCTGCCTGGATCCTGAGATCTCTATCCTAAAAAGAAAGGAAGAAAAGAACCATTTAGAAGCTCTAGAAATCATCATGTAAAGAAAACGATAAATTCTGCAGAAGGAAACCCTCATTTCCGTCACTATATAAATTAGTGCTTATTTTCAATGGTGGCATTAGAAACAAATTTGGGGGGATGACACAGAATGGGTAAAGTACATTCTAGTGTGGAGAATGAGTGGAAGCAAACATATCTCGGAAGATGCTTCTCTCCGAACACCATCCTTCTGACGCTTCCTATGCTTGTTTTGCACATTAGACTTAGAAGTGTAAGTCATCGCATTCATTTCTGGCTATTATACTCTCTGTTGGCTCTCCAGTACCAAAAGACAAGGTTTTAGGAAAAACTAGGCACTGGTCTGACTTATCCTAGCAATTATCACATTTTTATGATTCTAAATAGCTACTCTGGTTATATCTGTCCCAGCTCTTTCTTTCAAAGTCACCTCCAGTGTGTTCAACTCTCCATCCTCCTCCTCGTAAGCACCACCAACGATAAAGGAGTCTGGGATATTCTGCCCCCCTGGTGCTAAGATGTTGGTGACCGGCCACTTTTTGGGCCGGGGTAATGGTTCTTTCTCACCACCAAACTTCAGTACTCCATTCTTGAACAGGAAGGGGCATTCTTTCTGGAATGATCATAAAGGATTCACGTAATCAGCAAAGTAACACACACACATATGCAGTATAGTATAGAGTGGCGTGGATACAAATGGGGTACAGACACACTCTAATAAACACCCCAATACAGTTACAAAAGAGAGGACTAAGAATGATTTATATAGGTCTTTTAATTTGCAAAGTGCCTTTTAAGTTTCCACTGTGGCATCCCCCAAATAGCTCGTATGAGACAGGCCACTATTTTCCAAATTTTACAAGGGAGGTGGAAAAACAGTGGCTCAGTGTGTTTCTAACACAAAACCCCAATTTGGCATCACATGAGCAAACCTCAGGCTCACATTCTTCCTCCTCCCTGATCCTTCATCCCTCACAGGCTCCAATTTCCCCTCTGAATTCCTGCTTCACAGTATACCACAGCCTACCATCACATCCATACTGACAAACTATGACTTGCACTTGCTCTCCAGATCCAAACAGGGGACCACCATTAAACCTGAGGCTTGTTCAAGAAATGAGTCAGTGACTTGCTGAAGGCCACACAACAATTCCAGGGGCAGAGGCAGGGGGTGGTTTGCCACCTCCACATCTATCATGTGGTGTATGGATCTGAATTCACAGGGCTGGCCCTACCATTAGACGGGGTGAGGCAGCCATCTTAGGGAACAAACGCTGAGGGGTAGAGAATGCACAGTACCATGTGTTAAGTGTACTGCACTCTGCATTAAGTGTACCATGCATATGGATGTAAGGAGACAGTGATTTCCATCCTATTCTCTGCTCCTGTCCTGTGTCCACCCAAATCTACATTCTTTATCTTGCTATCCACTATGCCCAAAACTATCATACTTAATTATAGAATCAATTATGTAACTAACTACTTAGAAATATAGTATTTTACAATTGGAGCGAGAAGGCTCTGGTTTTTACCTCAGTTAATTGATTTACTTCATTTATATGCCACCTTTTCACAGTAAGCTGTGCCCAAGCAGTTTACAATGGACATCCATTTATTATCAAATACACAACATTGCAGGATGGAGATTGCAGAAAGAAAGGTTTATAAAGACATTTTATAAATACAAAGAAAGAAAGAAAAATCAATTATTTAGTAGACAGAGAATAAATTCAATTATTAAAAAATAATTAATATAGACTCATGTACAAAGCAAAAAAAGAAACTTAACAGGCAATAAAATTCTAGTGATTGTGCGGGTCTTATTCTAAGAAGGCTCGGAAGCCAGGCTTAAATACAGTTCAGAGGGGATTGGTCTTCTCACCAGACTAGAAGACTGACAGCTGGCTCTCCCATTGCTCCTCAGAGGAGACTAACAGCAGCAAAAGGGAACTGGGGGGTGGGGGAGTGATGTTGAATCCTCTTCTCCAGCCTCCTGGAAGCTCCAGCTGCCCCCGGAGGTCTTATTGGCTATTACTAACTAGTCACACCAATCACAGCACCCTGTGACTACAGCAAGAGAAGAATGAGCAAGAGCACAGTAAAGACAAGAGTTTAGGATCCCAGCAGGACTCACCTCGCCAACAGCAGGCACTTGCAAGCCGATCATATAGTTCTGTGGGGGCCCAGTGGGCAGGAACGTTTCAGGGACTGAATAAACACCTTCGACAGTCACTCTAAGGAGATTGCCCTCGGACAGCTGCCATTGGGACAGCAGACTCTCCTGCACAGATACTGTTACGTTGATGACACACTACAAAAACAAGGTCAGGTTTGGGGTATGCCAGCACTATAAACTTGTATATTGCTTTTATGCAGGTTCAAATTGCCATGGTGTTCCTCAAGGGATCCCAGGGATTTTCAGAGTTCATCAGGAAGATGGAAGGATGGCTGTATCAGTTTTACGTCAGTGGTGTCAATAAAATCCTTAGAAAACAGCTGAGCAGAAAACAGTCACGTTGCTTTATTTTTAGATTAGTGTGATCCAGCTGGGCCAGGTCTCTCTGCTAAATCCAGTCATTAGGATATTTCCCTCCTACCCACTTCCACTCCACCTAGCTAGCAACTGAGAAAAATGGATGTGGAGAGAGATTGTTGGGTCTATTCCCCGACTCAGGAGAAGGAAGCTTGAGAGGTGGCTGGTGCCAAAGACAGTCATTGTGGGGGCTCCTGTAGCCCACCCATGATGAGGGTTCATGGATGAACCAGCCCATGCTTCCAAGGCAGGAGCTGCAGACAATCCAGTTGCCCAAGAGAATTCTGGGCAATAATTCAGATAAGAAACAACACATTAGTTTGCTTTTTCCTCTCCTGTCTCTAAGCTCCTTTTCCCTCTGTGTTGTGTCTTTTAGACTGTGAGTTTGGGGGCAGGGACTATCTTATCAATGAGGATGGGTGAAATCTCTCAGTTCTCATTTTCCCAGTCTTCAGTTCTCTACATCTGCTTGGAATTTAAAACAAATACAGGTCCTCATCAGCATTTTAGTGGAAAATTTTTGTAATATGTTTTTCTATGCAGTTTCCCCAAATATACACATTTTTGCAAAACTGTTTCCCATAATATAAAGCATTCTTGTATGTTATTTTTAGCAATATATGCATTTGTATGTACACTTTACTGTAGTATATCATTATTGTACACATTACGTAGTTGGACAATGCACTGCAGAAATCAGAAAAGTGTGAATTTGAAGGATGGCTGTGTTTCAGTTTGCATATTGTTTCAGCAAGCGCAAATTAGGTAGATCCTCCTTTAAGTGTGAACTGAACCAAATTTCTCCCCATCCTTACTTGTCACTGACACTTTTGGGAGTAATTTTTAAAAGATTTTTGCTTTAAAGCTGGATAAAAATGCTTTGAATGATGAGCACTGCACACACACTAATAAGCAAATAAACCATGAGGTGGTGTTTATTTCAAGCACAAAAATGAAATAGGGGGTTGGGGGGTGTGGATTTCCACATCTCACTAAACAACCCTTGGAGAGCAGCAGTTGGAACAGAGTATATTTTTCAGTCAACTGTCTTACGTTTAAAAAGAAAACCTTACATTTATTATATATTAAGTTTAAGCTGGAAACATATAGCCAGGCAAAAAGGCAGGATAGAAACAATTTAAATAAAATAATGTGTGTTAGGATTGAAGTGCTAACCACCAATATTTTGAAGCCAGAGATATTGAAGTTATGTTGATGCATACAGTTCCTTTGAAGAAATGCCTCTATCATTATTTTTTAAAATACCTTGGCATCTGGCCGGAGGGTCTCTAGGGGAGAGCCAAGCACAGGGTATAGTGGAAGTGTTGCACTAAATTCACAGAGTCCTGCAGAGAAAGAGAAATAATTTTTGGAGGGGAATCACAAATGATGGTGTGGCCAAGCAGTATTAAAAGGAAGTTTTTTGGGAAAGCACCAGGAAACGCAACTGCTCTTGCCACGCTGCTCTGTAGGCTGGCAAGAATCTGGGATGGAGCAGGCAAATGAGCCATGGTTAACAAACCAAGATGGGTTCATAGATAATAAAAAGCCAACGCTAGAACAAGCCATGGTTGGTAAGCAGCCAACAAACCATGGCTTGTAATCATGGGTTGTTGGGAACAAACCAAGCATAGTTACCGTAATTTTCGCTCCATAACACGCAGTTTTTTCCTCCTAGAAAGTAAGGGGAAATGTCTGTGCGTGTTATGGAGCGAATGCCTACGGATGGCAGGGGAATCTGCTGCAGTTGTGAGCAGTCCGTGGTTCGCTTTGAAACAGCAAAGCGGGTGTAAGCGGCTCCTGTCAGCGAGCCGAGCCGGGGAGGAGGGAGAGAAGCAGAGCGGGAGAGGAGAGGAGCCGCTTACACGAGTGTAAGCGGCTCCTGTCTGGTTGGCTGCTTTAAAACAACCCCGTGTTCTATGTCCCTCTCTCCTACCCACTGAGCTGCTAAGTAGCAGCAAAGCTTTTCAGCCAGCTGAGCCAGGGAGGAGGGAGAGAAGCAGAGCGGGGTTTGCTCTCTATCCCTGCCTGCAGTTTTTTGCTGTCCGATTTTGGATTAGCCACTGTAGGGGCTGTGTGTGTGTGTGCTTGAGCTATCCTTCTCCTCCTCCTGCTTCCCGTTCACTCTCCCAGTGCCCCTGCGCTCTCCTGCGACTTTAGGATTGATACTGTGTGTGTGTGTGTGTGTGTGTGTGTGTGTGTGGCATCCTTCTCCTTCTCTTGCTTCCCACTCCCAGCGCCCCTGCGCTCTCCTGCGACTTTAGGATTGATTCTCTCTCTCTCTCTCTCTCTCTCTGTGTGTGTGTGTGTGTGTGTGTGTGTGGCATTGTTCTCCTTCTCTTGCTTCCTGTTCACTCCCCCAGCGCCCCTGCGACTTCCAGCACCCCTGTGACTTTAGGATTGATATTCTGTGTGTCTGTGTGTGTGAGAGGGATTGTTCACTTTCTCTTGCTTCCCGTTCACTCCCCCAGCGCCCCTGCGACTTCCAGCACCCCTGTGACTTTAGGATTGATATTCTGTGTGTCTGTGTGTGTGTGAGAGGGATTGTTCACTTTCTCTTGCTTCCCGTTCACTCCCCCAGCGCCCCTGCGACTTCCAGCGCCCCTGCAACTTTAGGATTGATTCCCTCTCTCTCTCTCTCTCTCTCTCTCTCTGTGTGTGTGTGTGTGTGTGTGTGTGGCATTTTTCTCCTTCTCTTGCTTCCCGTTCACTCCCCCAGCGCCCCTGCGACTTCCAGCACCCCTGTGACTTTAGGATTGATATTCTGTGTGTCTGTGTGTGTGAGAGGGATTGTTCACTTTCTCTTGCTTCCCGTTCACTCCCCAGCGCCCCTGCGACTTCCAGCGCCCCTGCAACTTTAGGATTGATACTCTCTCTCTCTCTCTCTGTGTGTGTGTGTGTGTGTGTGTGTGAGAGAGAGAGAGAGAGAGGCATTGTTCTCCTTCTCTTGCTTCCCGTTCACTCCCCCAGTGCCCCTGCGACTTTAGGGTGACTTTAGCATGGATCCACATGGATCCTCAGGATTTTTGCATTGGGCTACCCCAAACTCACCGTCAGATCACATGTCTGTGGCCACAGCATGAACCACAAAAATCATACATCCACTGTTTCATTTAGAATATTTTTTTCTTGTTTTCCTCCTCTAAAAACTACGTGCGTGTTATGGTCTGGTGCGTGTTATAGAGCAAAAAATACGGTAAGCTCTGGAGCAGTCAGTGTGGTAGGGCAAAGATGTGGAGCTGCCCTCCTGCCAACAGCCGCTTACCTGTATGGGGTATGCCAGTGTTTGGGCAATGGGAGGGTTGTGCATGTGCACCAGTAACAGCACCAGATTGGCTCCACCAGCTTGCCCACACAGCCGGACCTCAACCACCACCCGACCCCACACTGTCCAGACCCACCAACCCACATACTACACCAGCTGCTCTTGGTCAAGCCACAGGACTGAGTTTGCACAATCAAACAAGCCAAGTTTAAACTAAGCAAGCCATGGCTTAGTGTTAAGTGCGAACTAGACCACTGTATAACTTCCATAGTGTGAATTCCAAGGAAAGGGATAAAGCTAACCAACGATGAATTCTATCACTAACCTTCCAGTAAAGGTAGAAGGTCCATCACAGCTTGACCAAGGGTCATGGTCTTCTCTTCCTTCTGCTTCTTCTCCTTTGGTAAGACTTCTGTCACAGTGACTGGGAATACCAAACATAAGATTTGATAACATTCCTTAAACATCTGTGATGCAGAAGTACCCAGCAGTATGGAAGTGGGATGCTTGCTCTTTTAAAAATGGCTGCTATCCCTACCATCATCTTACTGAAGAACTTCTCAAGAATCATTAGGCTTCTCAGAAATCCTAGGGACGCGCAGAAAACTACTGCCCCTGATCATTTGAATGACCCTAGTTTAACTCTCTCTGGCATGCCTTTCCAGGGTCCAGGGGTTCCCTAAGCTAGGCACAAAAATAAAAACCCATCCTGTAATTTGGCCATTGAAAAATCACATATCTAAGTAGCTCAGCCCTGCATCTCCCACTTAGCTGTCCAAACAGGGATCCTGTCCATAATTTCAAAAGCATCACATTTTTGAGAAATCATTCAAACCAATATCAAGAAAATGAGCAGGCATGTGTTACATTACAATACCCTGACCATGTTGAAGGGATAGATTACTGAAGGAGGTGCTGTCTGTTTTTACAATATGTGTTTAATTTCAACAATAGTTAACTGAACAAGCCAGCTTCGTAATTCATGGCCCATGTTTTCAAGCATTGCTAAGCCAGGCCATGACTTGGTGCAAACATGTGGGATCCTGGAGAGAAGATCCCAGCCACTCTGCTCTTCCCTAAATGTTTTGGTGCTTCACTGCAGTAAGTCACAGTTTGACTTACCAAATTTTCTGTACCTGGGCTCACCGTTTAGCTCTCTCTCTATAAACCACGAGCTATAACCAAGGTTGGTTTAATAAAACTTTAACAATACAGAAATAGTGTGACATGGGAGCTACAAAACAAAGTTCAAAATTCATTTCACTCACAAACTCACTCGATAGTATTTGACAAGCCCTACTTCTCTCATTGCTATCAGTGCTATTTTTCTAGAAAAAGAGGTATCAGAACTCACCATGAGTGCCTCCTTTGTTCTCTTATAATGGCAATGGCACCCACCTGAGAGGTGGCAGAACTGAGTTCCGGCATGTTCTGGCTGCAAAAGAGCTCTGCTTGCTATAAAGATTCTAAGAACATAAAAAGAGCTTGCTGATCAGGCCAGTGGCCCATCTAGTCCAGCACTCTGTTCTCACAGTGGCCAACCAGATTATTAAGATTAAGGAACAAAAGTGCTTTGAGGGTAGTTATTGCAGGCCTGTTCTAGTGGATGAAATATGCACAGGATACAATGTTTCCTTTGAAATAATCAAAGAACAAAACCAATCTCTGCTTTCCCAATTTCTAAAGGACTAAGTGACTGTCAATTCAGAAGCATCTGTTTAAAATGGGGAAACAAGGAAGGGAGGAACACTCTTACTCACATAGCAAAGGTTTGTGTGCAATGTCATCCAGGCTGTGTGGCCCTTCAGGCTGGCAGTCAAAGGTGGTAGTGAAATTATATTTTGCACTTCCTTCTGCTGAACTTTCCACTTTTGCGGAGTCACCAAGGACGATGCCATTGTATTCGGTACGCACAAAGGTAACTGGCCCATCTCCTTTGACACCTTTCTATCAAACAGGGAGGTGGTGTCACTCAGTCTTTTTTGTATGGGACAGATTCAAGTATCACACCACCTGAACAAGATCACACACTCCTTCTTCTCCATATGCCTGTATGCCTCTCTCCATTCATTTAAGCAAGCAAGAGGAATTATTTCACTTTAAGGACATATTCCAGCTAGGCAAAAACACTCAAGGAGGGTTGGAGAAGTCCAGGGAAGGAGGCTATGGACCCCCCCAAAGGGTCTGGGGGACCACCACCCCTGTTCTAGACCAAACCTAACTTGAAAGGTGGACCAAATTTGAGATTCAAAAACATTAGAGAGAAATATAAGCATGTGTCTTTCTTTGCCACCCTAATCTGAGTGGTCTTGTCTTTAGCTTTAAACTTTTGAGCATGACTTGTTTTATTTTTCATTTATGTGCAGCACCTAATAATACTGATAGAGTGCGGAAGGGAGCACCTACACTTTGGAACTCCCTGCCAATTGACATCATCACTCTTTTTGGCAGTTGCTAAAAGCATGTTTGTTTAGGCAAGCCAATCAAGACATGTAGAATGCTGATATGTGCTTTAATCTGATTTGGACCTTATCAGTGATTTTAATTTTTTTGAAAAAATGTCTTAAATTGTTGTTTTTAAATATTTTTTATTACTGATAATTTTATTATTTCATTCTTTATTTAAACTGTCTTGATGTTTTCTTTTGTTTTAGAATCAAATGGTACATAAATATTGTGAAATAAATGTGGTGGTACTATACAAAATAAAATACCGAACTCAAGATAAAAATTGTCTCAAAAGGAAAATTTACCAAGTCGTGTCCATCCAGTACTGTGATGTTCACTAGTTTGGCACATCTTTCCGGCACCTCGGGATGCAAAAAGGAAGGTGAGACAGCCATTAGAAGGAAGAATCTGCAGGTGAATAGAGGTGTCTATACAGCTAAAGAAAAGAAGAAAAGAAAGAGGAACATGAACTATCATTTATATATATCTTGCCTTTCCTCCAAGGGGATCAAGCTGATATACTTAGGTTTCTACCCAATTTTACCATTCCAACAACAACAACCTTGCAAGGTAGGCTAGGAAATGCAGAGTAGTATAGAACAAAGTGTTATGTGATGGCTAGAGTGTCAGAATAGGACCAGGAAGATCCCAGTTCAAATCCCCACTCAGCCTTGAAGCTCACAGAGTGACCTTGGGCTACTCAACTTTTTTTGAATGTCACCTACCTTGCAGTGTTGTTCTGAAGCTAAAGAGGAGGGATGTACCATTGGAGAAAAGGCAGGGATAGAAAACTAATAAAATATACAGCACAAAAATGCAGTAATATAGCACAATATAACCCTGCAGCTGATTGCTGCAATAAGTCTCCAACATTCTCAGATAACTTCCTTTTTGAAAGTCAACAATGCGATCCAACGGCCATCTCAGTAAGTTACTTCCAAGTAACAGTATTGCAGCCCTAATTTGTACTTATTATAGTGTTGTATTCCCCCCCCCCCCCGTACTTATGAGATTTTCTGTCTTAGGTGCTAAAATAACTTGGTTGGCCTTGGACTTGAGTGATAAATACATAATTTGTTGCTCTGCCTCAGGCAGCAATATGTCAATTACTGCTGCAGGGCTGGTGTGTAAAAAAGGGATGTTAAATAACATAAACATTAAACCGATTTCTTTTTTAAAAAACACACACACCCTTTTAAGAGAAGGCGGTCGAGGGGGTCGTGATGCAAACCATTGCAAGTATGCTTGGATGAAACAGCTTATCTTGACCCTGTATCCAACTAACGTCTACTCAGAGCAGACCCTCTGAAATCTATGGGCCTGAGCCAGCCATTAAGTAGATTGAGGTCTACTCTAAGCAGGACTCACGCTGGATGGATACAACCCTGGGAAGCTGGAGTTCACTTTTCACTGGAAAATTTTCGACTCTTGGGAATCAAAGCAAAGGAACACACCTTCACGCACTGCACTGGATGGAAATGGGTGCGAGCGCTGGACCGGGGGCAGCGGGGAATGAGAGGCGCTCACCTGTCCCGCCGCCCGCAGGTAACAGAAGAGCGCAGAGACCCAGCGACGGTTGCCGGAGCATCTTAAGTCGCCATAGCGACGCGGGGGCGCCTCGAGCGCTTCTCCGTTCCTTCGCCCCGGGGAAGCCTCGCGAGACCTTCCGGCTGCCATGTTTGTTGTGGGCAAGTGAAGGTTCTCACTGGGTTTCGCAGCCGCCTCCTGTCTAGAAATAAGCCTGCCCGGGCACGCGTCTGTTGTACCAGCGGTGTCTTCACCACAAGAGTTGCATTTACTGGGCGCAGCAGAAGCCCACAGAACCCTAGATTTAAAGGGAGTTAGCAAGTGTGGGTTTTTTTTGCAAGCTGTAGTGGTTGCTAAGAGACTTATACTTGGAGGCCTGGAAAGAGAAATACCCACAATCTATTACACAATGGTCTGAAGACCTTAATGCCCTTGCTACATTGGAACACCCCTTTTCAGCCCGAAAAAAAAGGGCCAACGCAGTTTGGATACCTAAATCGCTGGGAAAAGGCAGAGATTGAGGGCATTGGTGGTTATTGTATTGTCAGTGTGAGCTGACAGTTTTTCTGGGTTTTTACCCTCTGGGTTCCTTCCCTTTTTTATTCTTTTCTCAACACCTGCCTTCTTTAATAAATTTGTGAATAATAATAAGTGGAGGGAATTATAACCATCAGATGAGGCGCAAGAAAACAAAGTGCATGTTCCTTATCATTTCTTATGTTCTGAGGGCATATAACTTTCTGTTATCGGAAAGTCTCTGAGGCCCAAATGAGTACCTTCTTGCAACCAAAAATGTTGGACACACGTCTTCCCCCACTTACCCCAGCTAAATTGCTGGGTAATCTCTCCCCACAAGAAAAAAACCTCATACCAAACCTCTTGTTGACAGCTATTTTAAAATAACCCTTCCATATTAATATTTGGTGGGTGAAAGTCAGGCATTCACTGGAGAAAATGAGAGATAAAGTGTGAGATTGGTTACATTACGCTCAGATTAAGGAAGTTTTTAAACTTGACAAAAAGTTAGGGTTCCAGGTGGAGAAATCGAAGTTGGAAACGGAATTGTTAGAGCCTAAGACCAAGGTACTTTCAAGAATGTATAACTTGCTGTTAAAATGGAACACACAAGATGAAACGGTAAAATCAGCCATGATAAAGTGGGCACAGGACATTGGGCATAATATCATGTTTGAGGACTGGGAAAGGCTGTGGACTACTGGGTTGAATTTCACTGCTTGTAATGTTTTAAAAGAAAATGTAATGAAAATGATATATAGATGGTACATGACCCCAGTCAAACTTGCAAAAATATACCACTTGTCTGATAATAAGTGTTGGAAATGTAAAGAAAATGAAGGAACATTCTTTCACCTCTGGTGGACCTGCCCTAAAGTGAAGGCTTTCTGGGAAAAGATATACAATGAACTGAAAAAGGTATTTAAGTATACCTTCTCTAAGAAACCAGAGGCCTTTCTTCTGGGTATGGTGGGCCAAGGGGTGGTAAAGAAGGACCGAACATTCTTTATGTATGCAACAACAGCAGCAAGGATACTTCTCGCGAAGCACTGGAAAACACAAGATCTACCCACACTGGAAGAATGGCAGATGCAACTGATGGACTATATGCAATTGGCCGAGATGACCGGCAGAATCCGAGATCTGGGAGAGGAGACGGTAGAAGAAGATTGGAAAAAAATTTAAGATTTACTTGCAAAAACATTGTAAACTGTATGAATGCTAAGCAGGATGCTTGATTATAAACAATTTGGCACCATTAAAATAGATGAAGCGAAGTAGGAAGATAGGTTAAAATGTAAGAAAAAACAATCTTTATTTTGGATAAACATCTGGTTAAATTTAATTGATAGTTAGACAGTAAGGATGGAAGTAAGGTGATAATTTGCTGGACCAAATTTTTTTAACATGGAAGGTAGGGGCGGGAGATGTGAGGAGGTCACAAGAAGATAAGAAAGTATGTTACGTTTTGTTACAACTTGGTTTGTTTATTATATTGTAACTTAAAAACTTCAATAAAATATTTATAAAAAAAAAGAAAGAAAGTCAGGCATTCACATTGGCCATTTACCGCTGTTTTACTACAAGGTGCCACTGATGGCATTACCAGTGTTGGATTTTCAACCCAGCCAAGAGACAGCAGTGGAAGAAACAGCAGAAGCATGTCCCTCACATGGTGGTGCAAATTGCTTACAAAGAAAGAAGCTATGGCTTCTCAGAGGGATCCAGATGGCCACTGTGAGAACAGGGTGCTGGTCTACATGGCCCTTTGGCCTGATCCAGCAAAATTCTTATTGTGTTCTTAAATGCTATCTGCTGAAGTTGTTGTTGTTGTTAGTCATTTATTCATGTCTGATTCTTTGTGACCCCATGGACCAGAGCACACCAGGCACTCCTGTCTTCCACTGCCTCCCGCAGTTTGGTCAAACTCATGCTGGTAGCTTCGAGAACACTATCCAGCCATCTCGTCCTCTGTCGTCCCCTTCTCCTTGTGCTCTCCATCTTTCCCAACATCAGGGTCTTTTCCAGGGAGTCTTCTCTTCTCATGAGGTGGCCTCAGCTTCAGGATCTGTCCTTCCAGTGAGCACTCAGGGCTGATTTCCTTCAGAATGGATAGTTTGGATCTTCTTGCAGTCCATGGGACTCTCAAGAGTCTCCTCCAGCACCATATTGAGACTTTCGAAAAGACAGGACCAGACACACCCTGTAGGTTAAAATGTTGTTGTTTCCTCCCCTGCTCTTAACTTTATCTGGGTGTGTACAGAGCATATCCTTAAGAATCCTGGGAACTGTAGTTTACCCTCACAGAGCTGCAATCCCCAGCACCCGTAACAAACTACAGTCCCTGGGATTCTTTGGGGGAAGCTGGGTGCTTTAAATGTTTGGTGTGGATTTGACATATGGTGTGGAAAGGACCGAGTCTGACTGAGCAAGCAACATGTCGGGCATGCTGCTGCTGAACAAAGCTGTTTGTAAAGAGAAAGAGCGATAGAGGGCTCTTGCATCAGTTCCTACCACTGATCGTCATTGACCATCTGTCAGGGATCATTCAGCTGTAATTCCTTCATTCCAGGGGGTTGGACTAGATGACCCTTGGGATCCCTTTCAACTCTTCAGCTCTATGATTCTGTGTCCATAGAGCATTACAGCCTTCGCCTTTCTCACAATAACCCCACAAGGCGAGTGTATATGATTTCCCCTTTTTTACACATGGGAGAAGCCACAACTGTGAAAAGTAGCTTGGTGGTGGTAGTTGGAGTGTGGGCCTCTTGTAGTGTCCTCTATTTTCCTGTTGGGGGCAGCTGGCTCATTACTATCCTGATACTGTACAAACTTTTGAGCAATTGAGAAAGCTCAGTTCAACCCCTCCCCATCCCTTCTGTCCATTTGGAAGGAGTCCTCCTTCCTAGTCAAGATCTGGAACTGCTGGCAGGATATTCTTAGACCGAGATTTTCTTCCTGGCATTTCTGCAGTTGGAGGCTGAGAGCAATACTGGAGAATTCAAGGGATATTTGCAGCAGAGGAAGAATCCAGCTGCAGAGACGTCTAGCAGGTAAATTTCCCTTACTGCGCATTGATCTTTAAATTTAGCCTATTGACTTTCTCTGGTTTTCTCAGAACTTGCTCTCACAACCTTTTTACCTCCTTGCACATTGTTGCTGCCCTGAGTCCTTCTGCCTTCAACCCAACGGCAGACCCCAATCAGCTTTTCACAATCTCTATGCCCTGTGCTCCTCCAACAATTTCAATTTAACAGGAATAATCCCTGTTATCTCTCTCTCTGGGGTGGGGAATTGCTACTCCTATTTTGCCTTTTGAATATGTTTCAAAAATGCCCTTTAAGGTTTTTATTTGTATACACTCACACACATGTCCCTGCAAGTGTGTTCAGCCTAGGGATGGTGTCTCGTCTCTTTTTTTTAAAAAAATATATTTTTATTAATTACGAACACGTAAATACAGCAAATATACATAAATAAAACTAAAAAGAAAAATAGAGACTATAAAAAGAAAAAAGAAACAGAACAAAGAATAAAAAATAGATAACAAATTTCAAAAAGGAAAAAATAAATATAAATATTTTCATATCAACTTCTACATAGGGAGTTCAAGCTTTTTTAAAAACAGTTTTGGCTTGGCTCCATATTTCATATCTCTTGACTTCTTGCTATCTATGAACGTACTTGTAAATCAATTTTTTTCCAGATAACTGTATTCAAATGGTAAATCTTGGAGAGACAGTCTGACTGTCACTGACACTCACTGAGGGATGGTGTGTCTCTTAACTGTAGCAGTGGCAGACCTTGGGGTCTCAATTTTCAGCGGCGCCCTGTGCGATGCCAACGTTCAGTGCCCCCTTTGCCTCTCGCCTTCCACTCTACGGCGCCGCCTGTTGCACCCCCAAGGCTCCGTGTTCAGTGCAACTGAACCGGTTGCACCCCCCTAAATCTGCCTCTGACTATAATGCAGATGGATCTGAACCCACACACACAAAAACCACAATTGTTCGAGTGATTGTTCTTCTAGTATTGCAATGAACCTACATTAAAGGATGTAGGTACATAAAAGGATGTCATATAGAGGAGGGAGAAAGGTTGTTTTCTGCTGCTCCAGAGAAGCGGACACGGAGCAATGGATCCAAACTACAAGAAAGAAGATTCCACCTAAACATTAGGAAGAACTTCCTGACAGTAAGAGCTGTTTGACAGTGGAATCTGCTGCCAAGGAGTGTGGTGGAGTCTCCTTCTTTGGAGGTTTTTAAGCAGAGGCTTGACAACCATATGTCAGGAGTGCTCTGATGGTGTTTCCTGCTTGGCAGGGG